GTTGACCATATTACCACGCCAAAACGACAAGAAACCTTGCTCACGTGGTACTCGAATAAAGCAGTCGACCATTCCTCTGTATCGTTTAGACACTTCGATTGTTTGTTGGGCTGATTGAAGCTACAATTTTCCATTAAATTTCATATCTTTCGGGTAATAAATAAGAATAACATCGAAAAAAATGGTCAGCTGCACAAAAAATATGCTTAATGCTATCATATTTTACACAGCACATTTTGTTTGGAGAAAAATCTCATTGTTCCTTTGCCATTGACATTATTGTTGGCTTGAAGTTGGAAATTGGAAAATGAAAAGATCAAAATCGAAAATTGTACTGCTCAAAAGCAGATAACACAGATTACGAGGAGGTTGCTCACCTGAAGGATCAGTTTAACTCGTTCAATTGGTGCAATAATGGTTTTTGCAATAACGGCAGCCGTTGCACCAGCCGTAAAGTCCTTACAGAATTTTATGGCATCGTTCATTCGTGGAATACGATCGCGTTTCATACTGAATCACTGCTTATCAATTATCATTTCTCAATATTTCTCGATCAAATTATTTCTCATGAAGCGATTCGTTAGACAAGCGGGAAAGTGATTCCTTATTTAGCACGATATCATTCACGGATTCAACGTCGAATCCAATCCTGAGCCAATGCATTCATGATCCAATCTACTTGCTTTTAAGAGACGTAAATTCGCTGAATCAACGTTTAGCCAATTCAAAAAGACATAAATAAATATAAACTAATAAAGACAATTTACCTGACAGTTACAGTTGATGCCATGCTTTGGATTTGTTACAGAATTCAAGATAATAATTGTGAGTGTTAACTAAATATAATACACAATTAAATTAGATATAGTATATTATCTACTTAAGGCACAAATAGTCGTTATATTTGAATCAGCGGAACAACGGCTGCCCTGAAATATTCACAATTAGCAAGAATTTGAAAACATCAGAACGGAGAATTTGAATTTCTGCTGAAATATTCAGAACCGTGACTGTGCTGATACAGTTTTATAAAATATTTGTGGCCATATTCTTTTGTACGGAACGAGTTTATCGGAATCAATCGCACATGAAACTTCAAACATCGTCAACGAATAAATTCAATAGCAAACAAATAAACAATCATGTAAAGGACATATACGTAAAGAAGTAAAGCAATAAACGTGCGATAATGTACTAACTGTCGAACTGATAAGGCTTATCAGTGCAAATCAACGATAATTTATTACTACGCTGTCGTTTGCTTGATATTTTTTTCTCGGACAAGCGGGATAACGATCTTAGATCGAGTGCGGAAGTAACGCCAAATGCTAATCGCTCGTAAAAGTATAATTGTGAGCACTTCTTTTCGGCTATTGCTAATGCATGAGATTCTTAAGTTTTGCAATTTCATGATTGCAAATAATTGTATTCTATGAGATGACTTATCGAAAAGTGCCCCAAATAACTCGTTCACTGATAAGTGATCAGTACAAAGTGCAAACAACGACTGCAAACGATATCAAATTCGAATGGAACACTTCAAACATCGAAGATCTTTTTAATTGTTTCTATATGATTTGTAGTGAGGGAAACCTTTGCAACAATGAAATAGTCGAACGAAATCCAAACATTAACCACCAATATCACATTAGGAAACTAAACGTTCCTTCCGTCAATCTTGAGAAAAACTAGCGAACAATCCGAATGAATATAACGTTTAAGATGGAAACATTATGAAGAAATTCTTTATTTTATAATAACGATAAGATATTATTGTATAGGAACACAGGCGAATTCATTGAAAGCATTTATGGATTTTTGCTTGACAGCTGAACAAATGTCTCAAAAACATTAATATCCGTTCGACAAATCGTCGACAATCAAAGTTCCTCGTTTGGCTTGTTCTCGTTCAACTGCTTCGAATAATGCCTTGAAGTTACCGGCACCGAATCCCTATAAAATTGATCATAATGAGCTATATAAGTGGTCATCATTAGTAATCGTTTTCTATTCATGAGCTGTATCTATTATCAACTGCTATGTAATGATTGCTAAACTCGTTTCTGTGATCACAACGTAACACAACAACCAAAATATTTGTGACAATTTAAACACGCTCATAATGAGTTTACAGTTAATCAAAATTGTTTTGAGTTGACTCACGTTGAAGTTATTTCGTTGAATGACCTCCAGGAAAAGAGTTGGCCTGTCTTGCATAGGTTGCGTGAATATTTGCAGTAGGTAACCGTTATCGTCGAAATCCACCAGAATATTCAATTCACGTAACTGCAAACATCGTCGTTGTTATTAAGTGCTTGATATTGTATTGTAGAAATAGAGCACAACTGAATCACACAAACAAAAATATTCACTTCATGCAAAGAACTACGTTATCAAATGATAAATAGACAGATTTTGTGTGCTTCATAACTTGACAAATATCCCATGATATCTAATCATAAACAATGCGGAATAAGAAGACAGATTCAAAATCGGCTTTAGACTAACTTAGGGAGACTAGAGACTGTTTCCAGTCTAATATCCATCAACAGAGATATTTTCCATCTACATTTGACAGTTTCTATCGAGATTATATGAAACATACATCAATTTACCTAGTTCAGGGAAAAATTTCTCGTGACGGGAATGACGATACATTTGTAATCATCCAATTAAATCATTTATTTAGCGCTGTCCACGTAATTCAGTATAAGTAACGTTGTACATGAGAAATGAGCATGGTTCAGTTGAATACTAACTTTCTTAATGTCCTCCTCAAGATGAATCTTCGAATGACTCAATCGTTGCTCCAGTTCATCATAATAACTGGACGGTATCGTCAAGAACTCCACTCCTCTTCGACGCATTTTCTGGATTGTCGTTATTATATCTGTACATCTCAGTGCCATATGCTGCACACCAGGTCCTCCGTTATAATCAATATACTCCTTAAATTTCTTTCAATTCAATGCCATTGAGGCACTGCATGTGACTTAGGTGTAACACAAGTTAATCGTTTCAATATAAATGTACACACATCTTGATCAAACACTACATTTAAAAAACCCATTTATTCCAATTTATGATACAGAAAAACATTTTGAGAATCTGACCTCTTGCTAAAGCTGTTCAGTGATAGGTGAATGTAAATTTGTTATTATTTAGAGTATATTCTAAATTATTCACTCATTATACTGAAGGTCGATTTGGTGAATTTTAATGAGCATAACGATTGTTGCAATAAATGGACTTCGCAACGAAGCGATTGTAATAATTGAACTGATCGTTCACCTGTATTTGAGATCTACCTCGTTTCGTATTCGGTACTGGCTCAGCTATAGCCACTTGTATGGAATGCGATGGATTTGTTAACAGAATTGATTTCATTGCCGAATACTCCGAATGACAAACATTCTCATCGATTGACCTAGAACAATGTTGCTGATAGGGATATTTTCATGGAATTGAACCTCAGTTCGGAACACCAGATTAGTGCGAGAATGAACGGTTTTTAAAATTCAGTCATGAGATGGTCTCAGGGAAAAGAAGGAAACTTAAGGATGGGTTGGAGCGAAATGGTTCACACCATATAAACGGTATATTTCATACTTCTCCCATGGTCTATTTTTTAAAAGTCTTAATGACATTTCGCTGAAAACTAGGTTAAGATCAACTGTTGTTAAGATCAACTGAAATTCTGTAATCTCTGAAATATCACTTGAACAAATGTGTTTTAAAATGTGC